TATATATATATATATACACACACACACACACACACACACACACACACAAACACACACATGTATACATCTACGTGTGTGTGTGTGTGTGTGTGTGTATGTACTGACGTCCTGGTCCTTGGTCCTTGTACCTGTGGATGTGATCCTGTTTGGAAATAGGGTTTTTCTTTTGTTATGTTAATTAAGCCATACCAGGGTAGTGTGGGTCCTAAACCCAATCACTTCTAAGCTACAGAAAGAACAGAAGAGACACCATGCAAGGATTATTTACAAGCAAAGGAATGCTAAGGATTGCTGGTAGTTACCAGAAACTATGAAAGAGACCCACAGGAGGAATCAATGTACCTGAAACCCTGATTTGGACTTGTAGCCTCCAGAACTGTGAGAAAATTATTTTGTCCTTTAAAATATACACACACATGTGTGTGTGCGCACACACACACAATGTAATTATATAGAGCAAAAATAAGTTTTTAAGTTTCTTAAGATATGTAAAAAAGTTAATGCCAACAGAAGAAACTCATAAATTGGTAAGAAAAATACCAAATTTTCAGTAGATAAATGGAGAAATGATAAAAACATACAATTTTCACAAACAGGAATATTAACTGGTAAACATGGAAAAAAGTGTTTAACCCTGATAGCTAAACCAAAAAACACAAAGCAAAACCAGGTAACATTTTCTACCTAATTAATTAAAAAAAAAAAACTCAACCATGTGGATGTGATGATGATAAAAAACTGTTTATATATACATTGTTCATGGCAGTATAAATTAAAACAACTCTTTGTAGAACAAATTGTTCATACTCTATGGGGGTAAACCTTCCTTGGAATTAATTTTTAAAAAATAATTACTAAAAAGTTTAGATATGCAAAGAAAATGTTAACTGCATTAAACCCTGTGATGGTGGGGAAAAAAACTGGAAATAATTTTAATATGAAATAAAAGCTAACAGAATATCATGTAGCCATTAAAAAATTTAATCACAAAGTCTATATAACAAATGAATAAATGTCTGCTCTAATAAGTGAAAAAGCAGAATACATAATTCTATGGATATTTGTTACAATTCCTAAGGAAAACATTAGTACATATAAACACATAAGGACTAGAAAAACCCACTGCCACTGAGTCAATTCCTACTCATAGTGACTCTACAGGACAGAGTAGAACTGCCTGCACCATAGGGTTTCCAAGGCTGTAAATCTTTACAAAAGCATTCCGCCACATCTTTCTCTCATGGTGTGGCTGGAGAGTTAGAACCACCAACCTTTTGTTTAGTAGCCAAATCTTTTTAACCACTACACCACCAGAGCTCCTTCCTAAGGACTAGAAAGGAACAAGTAAAATGAAAATACTGATGATTTCATGTTTATGGTCACAGATAACTTTTATTTCCTTTATTACTAAAATTATCCATACAATTAACAAAAGTAGGGGGAAAACCCTCACGGAGGGCCTGAAGTGAATTACATTATAATGAATTATGTGGTCAAGGGTAAACTAAGGGCTTGTCCCTTGGATTTTATATTCCTAAAAAGGGGGGAGGGGGCATGTTGCTCAGCCCCAAATAACAGCGGCACAAAGCAGCTACGAAAAGAAAACTTCACTCTGAGATGAATATCTGGAAAGACTTTTTAACAGTAAAAATCATCAGACTGTAGCATGGTGTCCTGGGCTAAATTCCATTGCTGGGGTATTTAGAAGGAACGCCCTAGACACTATACTGTAGGAATCAGTCCTAAGCTGGCACCACAGAAACCCAGAAGTGGTCTCATGAGGTTTTTCCATCACACAATTTGGTTGGCTCATCTATAAATACATGACATTTGCACATAAACACTAAGGTTTTCATACCAAGCAAAGAATAACAAACGTTACCTTGGAAGTGCCAGACAGTATCCTGCCCCGCTGTCCTTGGGTAGGAGACACAGGTACCAATCGGCTGCATACTGGAACCCACTGAGTGATGCTTGTGTGGTTCCTCTAGAGAAAATAAACGAAACTGTCTGTCAGGAATCTTAATCAGATTCTATATCTAGAAGGTAAAAAGGGTGCTGCCAGAATAATGCACATGGCAGGAGAAATTCCAAAATGCAATTAAGACCAAGCCTCCCTGTGCTCATCTCTGCAAAGATAAGATGTATCTCTAACTACTCCGAGCCCCATGGACTAAAAGAGTTCTGGCAATAGTTGACTCAAGCAAGAGGGCATGGGCTCCCTCTAGGGAAACAAAATAAGCAGGCCTCTGGCATTCTACAATTAAATTATTACATTCAAATTATACTTTGCAATGCCTTTTTACAAACTGGTAAGAAATTTATATAATTTATCTGATTTTCATAGAATTCCTTTACTGGAAACAGTGCTGGGATTATCATCATGCCCAAATGGATGAAGAAACTAAGGCAGAAGTTTACAGGGTAGGAAAACACACATAAGCAGCTTGATTTCCAAGATAAAAGAATGACTGAATGATTGTTTGAATTATGACTGAGATTAAATTTTCCCTCTGACATCAGCTGATCTCCGAAGGGTCTCTTGGCTAAAGTGAGATGCTAGACTAGGGAAAGGGGGAGCTCACTTGATGAATGAGAAGTCTGCTTTTTTTTTTTAATGAACCTGAGATACATTTCACTGCATAAATGGCATCCATGTACACAGCATCTCTATTCTAGGAACCAGTCCTGGTATATCTAAGGGTTTTTTGCACTTGAGTAACCGCATCTCAAATTAATTTAGGACTCCCAACAAGAGATGGTGGCTGAGGTTAAAACTCTATTTTCAATCAAAAGTAACCTCTGTATCAGGAATGTTACCTGTCATTCCTGTATCTGTCCACTGCATTCTGAAAAATTACCTGGTAAACAACTTCAGAAAACAATGTAAATTTTACTTACTTAAAAGTTTTGTCTGCTGCTTAGAAAGCCAGGTCCAAATCAATTCTCAAAATAAACTTTAGAATTATCCATGTCTTCCCTGCAGTCACCCAAGGAGGGTCTCATGACTGTTTTGAGGGCAGATGTACCTAATTTAATGATTACTTTATAACTTTAATAAAACTTTAGAAACATATATAATCTCTACCAATCGGATGTACCATCACCCAATTTTGTAACCATTACCTAAATGTCAACTGATCACTGGATTTTTATTGAATTTCCTTGCATTTTCCTATATAAACTCTCTAAATTGTCTCCTCCCCAAGGAGGAATCCTCTAGACTTTGTGATTCTCAATCGAAAATTGTCTTACCCCTCAATAAAAGCTTTTCACTTTGAATTTTAACCAGACTCTGCCATTCTGCTCTATGACATACTTGACCTGTAGACTTTATAGGACCACAATAGGGAATGGTTGTACAAACTGTTTGAAAATACTTGACCAAACATAAAGTACAATATTAGAGTCAAAGATTTAGATTCAAATTTAGACTCAGATACTGTAAGATGACTTTACAAATTAACTTAACCTCTACAACACTGCTTCCTCATAGTAATTATTACTAAAACTTATGAGTACTTACTAAGGGCTTTTCTAGATGTTTTACATATACAAACTAATATAAATGCCACAATTACCATCTGATGACCTAGGAACCCACTTTAAGCAGATGAGGAAACTGAGGTATTATGGATTGGAGAAGTAATTTCTCAAGGTCACAGTCAATAAGCAGAAGGGTTAAGATTTGAAACCTGGAAGTTAATCAGAATCAGCACTCACTTCTGGGATGCAAAAGTAAAAGGAATTATTTCCAAGGTCCTTCTAGCTCTAATACTTTATGACCTAGTTTTTAATCAATTAAAACTTAGCACAGTATTATGGAAAGAGCCACACACTTGAGGTCAGCAAGCAATGATAAGACACGTGGCTCCACTATTCATGAGTTACATTAAGTAACAATCTCTGTGAGCCTTGGCATTCTCTTCTATAAAATGAAGATAAAATCCCTACTTCTCAGGATTTAAAAAAATAGTAACAAATATATTTTACAATATGTCCAACTCAATAAACATTCAGCTGAATCTGAATCTCTGTTTCTTCATGAGAAGGCATGAAGGCATTGGGGTGGGGTAGAGAAAGGGTTAAAACTGGAGATGCTTTCTAAAATATCTCACAGTTTTAAAATTGTATAACTGTTTCTAATAGGACACTTACAGCATTTTGCATTTCAAATGAAAAGTAAAACCAAAATTATTTTATTTCCGTTAAGGTTTAATCTGTTACAATGGTTGACAAATAGGAGACTGTTACCGACTTTGTATTTTACTTATCACTGATAGATTTACTAGAATCAGTCAGTGTCAGATGTTTCTCTCTTAAAAATATAAACATGGGATAAGATGAAACTTCTGCAAGTTCAGGCAGAAAAGGGGGGTGAAGTGGGGTGGGTTGGGGAAGAGGCAAGAGGAAATTACAAGCAGGAACAATGCAAACTTTCCGAAGATTTTCTGAAGATTTTCATCACATTTTTTCCAATGTCAACAAAATTTTTCTCTGTAGTTTTGGCTCTACTTGGTCCTATGCCAATATTTAAAATCAGTTCTAATTAGAAGAAAAGAGCAATCTGCTCTGTTCTTTCCTTCTCCAGTGCTACAGAAAATAATTCTTGTCCAAATCTTTAATTAAAACTGCTGAGCTATAGCAGAAAGAAGGTTTGAATCCCAAGCATGTCATTAAATAGCTGTGTGACCCTGAACAAGTTACTTAACTCTTCAGGCCTCTATTTTCCCTTACGTAAAATGGGGGGAAATTATAATAATGATGCCCTTGTGTTGCAAGGAACATTTGTAAAAGTACTTTGGTAACAGCAAAATATGTACAAAGGCATCATTATTGTTATTAATAATTGCCTTTCCCCAACAAGCTGTCATAGCAGCAAGAACCATAGTCCTAAAAGAATTGTTTTGAACTTGACATTCCCTTTCTTAAAAGCTTGCAGTGGCTCCAAGTGCCTCTTTACAAACACCTGATCTTTACGGGTTTTTACCAACTGGGCACTTCTTGATTGACCTTTAAACTTATATCCCCGGCCTTGTAGTTCCCACTCAGGAGTTCCAAAACCTAAGACTCTTTGGTTGGGGAACCAATGCTTCATTCCACACAAGCTAATCCCTTTGTTGTCACTTACTCTAGGATTCTCTTCTCCACTCTTATGGAAATGATGAGCACATTTGCTTTAAGAAATCCCTCTATCACCCTTGAGACTATGGCCCTAATTAGTTACCCTTCTGGTCTGGAACTGAACTTACTCCTGTGGTTCCAGCCAAGCAACAGACAGGCATATGGGGTGAACTTTTACATCAGGTAGATACACTCCTTGGCGTGATCAATCGTGAGAGAACAGAAGGACAGTGTTTGCACAGGGAGCTTGCTGGAGGGGGTATGCAGGAGCACAGGGGAGGAAAGGACACAGGAAGAGGTAACTATAGGGAGGAAGTGGGAAAAGAGCTGTTATGCTGTGGGGAATTGCAATCACTGTCATGAAACAAAATGTGTATGAACTGCTGTATGGAAAATGAATTTGCTGGGCAGAAGACATGAATAGACACTTCACCAAGGAGGATATTCAGGCAGCCAAAAAACGTATGAAGAAACGCTCCTGATCATTAGCCATTAGAGAGATGCAAATCAAAACAACAATGAGATGCCATCTTGCCCCAGCACTAGTAGAAAAGTTCAACAAGACGGAAAATAACAAATGCTGGTGAGGATGTGGAGAGATTGGGACTCTCATACACTGCTGGTGGGATTGTCTAATGATACAATCACTGTGGAAAGCAGTATGGCAATTCCTTAAAAAGTTGGAATTAGAAATACCATTTGACCCAGACATTCCATTACTAGGTATATATCCTAAAGAAGTGAAAGACAGGATAAAAACAGATATATGCACACCCATGTTCATTGCTGCACTATTTACAATAGCCAAAAGATGGAAACAACCTAGGTACCCATCAACTGAAGACTGCATAACCAAACTATGGTACATACACACAATGGAGTATTATGCAACCCTAAAGGATAATGCAGAATCTGCAAAACACCACATAATGTTGATGAACACAGAGGACATTAAGCTGAGTAAAATAAGTCAGTCACAGAAGGACAAACATTGTATTAGTCTGTTATCGTAAAAAGTCAAGGAAAGGTTAATAGAAGGAAATTTTCTTTGTTGGTCACCAGGGATGACATGGGAGGGGAGGGAAACTGCCAGACAGGTAGAGACAAGTATTAATTTGCGTGAAGAGAAGGGCAAGGTACCAAATGTGAGTGATCACCATGTTGGCACTGAGGAAGAGGAAGACATAGAGAGGTACATGGGAGGGACAGACAACAAAGATGAACCCTTTTGCACATAAAGTACTGCATTGTCAGTGAAGGCAAACATGGCTATATGGGTGGATAGATGGGCTGAACTATTAGGTATGTCTATGCAGGGGGGTAGTGTACCCAAGACCATGTATAGGGTGTTTCTACAAGTGTATTTGTATGTTCTGTAAGAATTCCCAGGTATATAGTAGGGCTGACAAGGGCCAAGGTTGTAGTCACTTCTTGGCCACAGCCAACTACCCAGAGGGAGCAAGTAGTTGGACCTGTGGGCTCGGGACCATAGTCACAGGGAACATCAAGCTCAATTGGCATAACATACTACACAAAACACTGTTCCACATCCTACTTTGGTGAGTAGCAACTGGGATCTTAAAAGCTGGCAAGTGGCACCCAGATACAACGATGGGTCTCTCCTCGTCCAAAACAAAGAAGAATGAAGAAAACCAAAGACATGAAAACAATCAGTCCAAGCAACTGGTACACCATGTGATCCTCAGCCTATATGACTACGAGACCAGAAGAACTAGACGGTGCCTGGCTACCACTGTCAACTACTCAGAGGGGGATCTATGTAGTCTCCTGGATAGAATGAGAGAACAACGTGGAACAAAACTCAAAATCATTTAAAAAAAAAAAAAAAAAAAGGGA